TGTATGACAAAAAGACGGAAGCTTTCTAATTCCTGTAGCATGAAAACATACTTAGTTCTGAACTTTCACACATTTATTTCTAAAATTCATACAGAACAAAACAAAGAGTAAACTAAAAAATTCCCACAGCAAACATCTGTTGTGTAATGCAGAAATGAAGATGCCTATAAACTCCAACTTACATGTAAACAAGGATGAAGAAAAAAGGTGAAATCAGTATTTTTAATACCATATATACTAGAAAAATTTAAAATTTGACCACACTAAGTGTTAGTACTTATGAAAAAGTGGGAATACAACTATGGGAGTGAACATTCATATGACCTTGGATACAATTTTGGGAATATATGGTATAATGAAAAAAACATACACTTGATGATCCAGGAATTTCACTCTTAATTATACATCTAGAGACATTTTAATGAATGTTCCCAAAAAGGCATATACTAGAATATTCATAGCATCATTGTTTATGATAGTAAAAAAATGGAACCAAACTCAATTTCTATAAATTATTAATAGATTAAAAATTGTGATGTATTCAGTCAATGAAATGCTATAATATATTAAAAACAAATAAAATGGAGTTACAGTTGTCAGTGTAGATGAAGCTTACAAATGTAATCTGGCCAAAAAAAGTACCCCATATTGTGAAAACATAAAGTATAATAGGTTTCATATAAAATTTAAAGCATGCAGGGCTTCCCTGGTGGCGCAGTGGTTGAGAGTCCACCTGCCGATGCAGGGGACACGGGTTCGTTCCCCGGTCCGGGAAGATCCCACATGCCGCGGAGCGGCTGGGCCCGTGAGCCATGGCCGCTGAGCCTGCGCGTCCAGAGCCTGTGCTCCGCAACGGGAGAGGCCACAACAGTGAGAAGCCCGCATACTGAAAAAAAAAAAGCCAGTTATATATACATTGCTATATTTAAAATAGATAACCAACAAGGACCTACTGTATAGCACAAGGAACTCCACTCAATATTCTATAATAACCTAAATGGGAAAAGAATTTGAAAAAGATTAGATACCTGTATATGTATAACTGAATCACTTTGCTGTATACCTGAAACTAACACAACGTTGTTAATCAACTATACTTCAGTATAAAATAAATTTAAAATGCCAGTTATGAGTCAGCCTACTAACTGAAGTCTTTATGAAGCAGTTTCTCAGATCAGTTAAGAATAAGGAAAGACACATTAGTTGTCTTTAAAAAATTGAAAATTTCTACAAGCCTGTAGTCCCTCATATGAAGTGCTTGGGTGAGGTGTGCTTTATAAATGAGATTTTCTTTTAATTCTATAAAAGTAATACAATACATATGCTGTGTATTACACAAGACATGCAGCAGGATTGTGGTGGTAATCTGCAATAGACTTTCATATTTTTATAATTAAACATATAAATAATCATGTTAAATTTATTAAAGGCTAAAAGTAGCTTTATTAGTTCGAATTAATTTTTGCTGCCAAGTAAATTTGTGCTAAAAGTACAAATAATTTTTGGTCTTCGAAGCCTTTTGGATTTTGGAATTATACATCAGGGATCACAGACCCATATTCTGAAGAAAAAAATGGTTTCATTTTGGGTGTCTCCAGATACAGCAGGTCCAGAATGTAAATCAGCTGAAGGAATGAGAAAATGTTGGGGTTAATAGAAAAAAGAATTTTCAAACAGTTAAGGTCCCCCTAAAATGAACTACTTGTCCCTGGAAAAGTCATGAATTCCCAGTCACTGTGATCAAACGGAGATGAATTATGTAATTGCCCTTTATTCTGTAGAACCTGATAGACTTACCATTACGGAACCAATTTCTAGACATACAAAAAACACATATCTTTAAATAAATAAAAAAAGAAACTTCTCTTTGCTTAAACAAAATATTACATTTTAAACACATTTGAAAGTTAAAATCAAAGCCAAACATTCAATAAACAAAGAATAGAGTGTAAGCAGGGGTCTTGTCTGACTCAGCCTATGCAGTGCGGCTATCATGGTTTGATACATGCCACGGGAATGTTAGGTGCTCAATAAACAGTGGGGAATAAATTAATGAAAGACCACGTTCTGTCAGTATAAACATATTTAAAATTTGTAAGTACACTTTAAATTTGTAATTAGGAAATTCAATAATATGCGTCAAAACATGTTTTTCCTCCTGAAGTTTCTATTTTAAGTATGGCTATTTATTGTAATCCCATTGTGTTACTGAAATACTTTTTAATTACTTTTTATTTAGTGAAGGAACATCTGCTGTTGGAATTGGTTCAGCTTTGTAAAAAATATAATAAAGAACACTCTGATAGTGTTATGATAACCATATATAAAATACAATTACAGAATGCTGCAGTATTTATTTTTTATTTTTATTTTTTAAAATTTTACTTTTAATAATTACTTCTAATAATTCATCGAATCTCTTTATTAGATGAATGAAAAATAACTTTTTTCCCCCAAGACTGGCCAGCTACCAAAGAATTCTCTCAACTACCTGTTAGCCAACAAAATCTTCAGATTTCATTGACTGTAAATCCTGCTCAAGACAAAGATCTTATTTATTTATTATTATTTTTAACATCTTTATTGGAGTATAATTGCTTTACAATGTTGTGTTAGTTTCTCCTGTACAGCAAAGTGAATCAGCTATGTGTATACGTATATCCCCATATCCCCTCCCTCTTGTGTCTCCCTCCACCCTCCCTATCCCACCACTCTAGGTCATCACAAAGCACCGAGCTGATCTCCCTGTGCTACGCGGCTGCTTCCCACTAGCTATCTATTTTACATTTGATAGTGTATACATGTCACTACCACTCTCTCACTTCGTCCCAGCTTACCCTTCCCCTTATCTGTGTCCTCAAGTCCATTCTCTACGTCTACGTCTTTATTCCTGTCCTGCCCCTAGGTTCTTCAGAACCTTTTTTTTTTTTTTCAGATTCCATATACATATGTTAGCATATGGTATTTGTTTTTCTCTTTCTGACTTACTTCACTCGTATGACAGACTCTAGGTCCATCCACCTCACTACAAATAGTTCAATTTCATTTCTTTTTATGGCTGAATAATATTCCATTGTATATATGTGCCACATCTTCTTTATCCATTCATCTGTTGATGGACACTTAGGTTGCTTCCATGTCTCAGCTATTGTAAATAGAGCTTCAGTGAACATTGTGGTACATGACTCTTTTTGAAATATGGTTTTCTCAGGGTATATGCCCAGTAGTGGGATTGCTGGGTCGTATGGTAGTTCTATTTTTAGTTTTTTAAGGAACCTCCATACTGTTCTCCATAATGGCTGTATATTCCCACCAACAGTGCAAGAGGGTTCCCTTTTCCCCACACCCTCTCCAGCATTTGTTGTTTGTAGATTTTTTGATGTTGGCCATTCTGACTGGTGTGAGGCTGGTGGCCATTCTGACTGGTGATACCTCACTGTAGTTTTGATTTGCATTTCTCTAGTGATTAGTGATGTTGAGCATCCTTTCATGTGTTTGTTGGCAATCTGTATATCTTCTTTGGAGAAATGTCTATTTAGGTCTTCTGCCCACTTCTGGATTGGGTTGTTTGTTTTTTTGATATTGAGCTGCATGAGCAGCTTGTATATTTTGGAGATTAATCTTTAAGAAAAAGACCTTTCATAAGAGATTGTGACAAGACAATGAAAGATACCCATGCCCTCTGTTCATTAGAACAATCCAGGTATGTTCAGTTTTTTATTTTTTCTGTTGACCTTCAGGTTGAAGTACTCACAAGAATTGTCAATAATACATGCTGAAGTATTGTTCTTTGCCAAATAAAGAAAATTCTGATTTTCACATGGTAAATTTAGCCACAGAGCAATGTGTTGTTTAATTTTGTTCCTATTTTAAAAAATTTAATATTTTCTTCCAAAATATGGAAGAAGACTTGTGACTGAGTCTTCCGTTGCAGAGCACAGGCTCTGGATGCGCAGACTCAGCGGCCATGGCTCACGGGCCCAGCCGCTCCGCGGCATGTGGGATGTTCCCGGACCGGGGCACGAACCCGTGTCCCCTGCATCAGCAGGCGGACTCTCAACCACTGCGCCACCAGGGAAGCCCTGTGGCTGAGTCTTTTGATTGCTAGGTCAATTAGAGATTGTGAGCAGGAGACTCAGTGCTGGAATAAAGTTTCCCTCTTTATACTATTGATAAAATGGGTGGGTGCTGTCAAAAATGATGAAGTTTTACTTATACCATGACTATGTTGCTCCAGTACCAAATTGAAATAAATGTCTCTGCAGAATAAAAATATAGTAATATTTTAAAGCAAATTAAGTAAAATTTATACCACATGTTTGATAATTATATCATTCTGATCTTCAAATAAATCACTTTATTAGAAGGGCATGCTTAATATTATTGATACCTTCAACCTATGCCTGTCCCTTGAAGCGTATGGCCATAACAATGACATCACTGGTTTTGTTTCAACAGGAGTAAAAGTAAGTCATCATGTTTTTACTCCTTTTGAGGACAAGTCCCTTCCCAGCTTTTCAATTATTTGGCAGTTTTTCTATGTTATTTATGTTCTAAGGCTTGAGACTATGCCATTTCAGTTGATCCAGTAAGACTCATTAAACTGATGGTGTTAAATACACTTAGAAGAGAAATTTCAGAGGATCAAACTTTTGGAAAAAAAATTCAGTATCTAAAAGTGTCAGATACAAAGAGGTCTGTTTTATTTGCTACTGAACTTTTTGCACTAGAAAATTCCTAGCACTTTTTAGAAACACAATATTCTCAATTGTTGAGTTAATAAATCTATAAAAGAGTTAATCCTTTTTCAATCTGAGTCAAACTAGATTTCTTGACCAAAAAATGTTTTCCTCAAGATTTTCAATATTTCATCACTCCTTTGGCATTATTGCCTAGAAAATTGATTCTAATGGTTTTTATATGCATGTGAATTACTGATGAACTAAGTAGACTTCCAGACACCAACCTTGAGACTGAAAAGATGAAGCCACTCTAAGGCCATGGATGCTCACAGGGCTGAGAAGGCATTCAATGGGTAGAGAGAAAACAATGACAAACTTCTACCTCATTTTTTCTTAGGTTGGTCCTAAAATAGAAGGCAGGTGTCTGAAAGATGGTGCCAAAAGGAAGAAGAGGAAGAACTGTGTAAGATTTTCAGAATCCCTTTGTGTCAGGGAGATTGTTGAGGGGGTAGTCATAGTAGCTCTCAGAAGCAGTATTTCTTGTGTCTTTCTCTCATTAATACCTCATTTCCTTCTCTAAGGTGGATCCTGTTTTAGTGGATAATTATTTATTATTCACACCGGCACTGATGTATCAGAGTTGATTTTCCACCATTTTAATTATTTCTCAGGGCTGCAGATATAAAGGGCAATGCACGAATTGAAAAATATTTTTGGAGTTCAGCTTGTAGCACTGAAAGCTCAAGAATGGACAGAAAGGATGGAAAATATATGGTGAATATTGAACACTCTGAAAACCCAGCAGTGAGTATTGTTGCTGTAGTTTAATATTTGCCTATATTGCAGTCTGACTATCAGCCTTTAACAGCAATCTAATCTTTTTACTGCAATATAGTTAATGTCATAATTTTGCATTCTTCTCCAAAAGGAAGAGTAGCCAGGTACTAATTTTTTCCTTCAACATTTCATGATATATTCTGCTCTATTATACTTTAGAAGTTATTTACTTATATACAGCATGACCACGTGATATAAAATAAATTAACTTTCAATATTCACCATCATGTAAACATAAAGCTCCAAAGATGACTTTGGTTTAGTTTTGAAATTATATTTTTACAATTTCATTCTTAGATTTTATATATAATTTCTAAACCTGTCAAAACTCACATTTCTAAATATGTTGGAAATCCAGAAAATCCCTGAAAGATATCCTCTGAAAATCCCTACCTTGAATGAAAATACTATCATTCTGTCTATTTTAAAATCTTTTACACCAAGAATCAGGTCTTCACTATATAGTTATAAGAGGTCTCTTTAATACCAGAACAAAGGATAGAAATGTGCTAAAAATTGAAATGGTAAGTTAAAATTCACGCCGGAAGAATAAAGACAATATTTTGCCTTTGCAATTTGGAGCTGTGACAATCGGCCTGTATTAATCACCTACAAAATAAGCCAAAGAAGATCAGCTCCTGTTGTTCAGTAAGTGTTAGTTGAATAAGAGAATGCCACAGAGGATTCCTGGTTTACTGAAAGAAAAGGGGTTTGTCCTTCTGAGTCATCATACAAAGGACCCTCCTGAGGCTGTTCTCTTTGTCATTTGTCTCTGAATTTGACACTCTATAATTGGATCTTCGGGATGATGGAATATTCAGATGGAAAAAAAGAAATCCCTTTAGCCAAGTATTCATCATCTTGATAGTTTCTCTAGATAGCAACAAACTTGAAGACGTTTACAAATACTATCTTCAGCACATTTTACAGCACATGTCTGCATAGCTGACAACATTTCAATTACCGTGGATAGTTAAGGCATAGTAATAAAAATGTTTTTCTCTTAAGACCAAATTCAATAATAGGATTAAAAAATGAATTGAAAATCACAAAAAGGAAATAAATTTTGGTGTGTTGTTTTTCTGTTGGGATATATGAGAACTTAAGTTAATCCTTATAAAGTCAGGGGAAAAGCTTATAGACCTTTCCTCGGTAACTATTGTTGCTGTACTCCAGTTGCCTATGGCCATTATTAGCTAAGGCTGACTCTCTGATTAAACGTTACTCACAGCTCTCCAACTATTCCAGTTTTGTATAGAGGCTTTCCTGTACTAAGTCAGAGGAACGCTGACCCAGCAAAGATTATTACTTGGCTTACAATATTACCCTGAAGCTGAGCCTAGTTCACAGGTTCTCCACCCTTGGTGTAAATGCCACCCATCGTCTTCCTTCTTTGAAAGGGTTGGGATTCCACCAATGCCAGAAAATTCTGGAAAACTGGTCTGGTGAGTGAGTTTTGCTTTGTTTACCAAGCACATTAAAATATCCAAGTTCTTCAAAATATCCAGGTTCTTCAGCCACAGGCAAACTGAATAATAACTAAAGCAACAAAATCAGTACTTAGGAAAATAAGCAAGGTTGTTATTAAAGGTAAGTCCAACTTTGCTCAGGTTTACCTAGTGAATAACATGGACTTTGTTTAATCTTATTCAGTAAAAGTAGAGATATTTTCTTTATTTCTTTGATATAACACTTATAGAAAAATCTAACTTAGTGAACTCTTTACTGCCAAGAGTATTCCATCTTGTCTATATTTAATAACAATCATTTAGTTTTGATATTGTTAATGATAGTTCCCAGTAGACCAATGACTTTATACAATTCTAGTCTGACAGTTTTATGGAACTCATTGGTTGATGGGTCAGCAATTTTTATAGTTATTTAGTAATGGGTTTTAAATCAACATGGTAGGAGATAACTAGTATTTGTAGCAGGAGGAATAAAAACATTAATACTATATTAATGATAATGATAGCTAATACTTATTGAATGTATACTATATGCCAGACATCACTCTAACCCTTTTCGTTAATCATGAATCCTCACAGCAAATCTATAAGTGTGGGTAGTCCTGGTAACCCTTTTTTGAGAATAAGCAAGAAGTGGCAGAGATGCCCTTGACTCAGACAATCCTATATTATTTTTGAGATTTGACAAAACATTTTGCCCAGATACATAAATTCCTGAACTTCCTGCTCTGCCATTTTCATTTTATCTTTTTCTTTCTCCTCTTTTAATGCACCTCTCCCCCCAGATCTTTCCCACTGAACTCACCCATTTTCAATCTTTATTACCCCCTTTTTCTCAACAATGTTTAGCAATTACTGTATTTATTTAAATAATTATACACAAATACCTGTTTTCCTCTCTGTTATATTAGCATACAAACTCCCTAAGTGTAGAGACTTTTGTTGTTGTTGGGAACAGTTTTTACACTGCTCTGTGTCCAAGAGGAACCCAGCAAAGACATATCACAAACTGGACAAAAGACTCATCTTCTGTGTTCTTGTGACAGGCTTGCAAGTTCCACTGAGTAGAGCATGATGTGAATTATGCAAAGGAATCTCTTTGTGTGAGAATTTTTCACTAGTATAGTGTAGTATAGTATACACTATATTAATATATTATTGTAGTTTAACATAATAACATGCCATATATAGTTTAGTAGAGTGGAAATTACACTGGCCTTACCGCTGGAATGTCTGGGCACCAGTGCTTGCTCTTGGGTCATCGTGAGATAATAATAGTACTACTATTACTACTACCAATAATAATAATAATAACTTCAACTCTTTTTGCTTCGATAGTCTCATTTCCAAAATGACCTGAACAGGTTGTACCTGATAAGCTGCAAGAACTTTTTCAGCTCTAACATTCTATTCCTTATATGAATTGATGTTTCCTAATATATGCTCCACCGACAGCATCTTGCCACATAAGGGTATTTAATACATGCTTGTAATATGATAGAGAAGATGGATTATATACATTCCTGATCTGGAACATTGATAACTTACAAAAATTAGTCAAAATGTACCATAGAATAACCTGTCTAGATTTTTTTGTCTTCAGAGGATAAGAAAACATTAATTTCTCTTAAAAGTTTCATTGTTATTTCTTTTAAAAGTCACAGTCTTGCTTATTTTTTTTTTATTTTTTTGCGGTATGCAGGCCTCTCACTGTTGTGGCCTCTCCCATTGCGGAGCACAGGCTCTGGATGCGCAGGCTCAGCGGCCATGGCTCACGGGCCCAGCCGCTCGGCGGCATGTGGGATCCTCCTGGACCGGGGCACGAACCCGTGTCCCCTGCATCGGCAGGCGGACTCTCAACCACTGTGCCACCAGGGAAGCCCAGTCTTGCTTATTTTTGACTGAAGTGTTTAATTTTAGAAATTCAACACCACTGCTTCCTATTCACTTAACGCTTCCAGTCATGTGTTCAAATGACCAAGAGGCTCCACCTTCAATTGACATAACTGGTGACGTCCCTTCCAACTTAACTGGGGTCTGCATGAACCCAAGAGTCCTTGCACACTCAGAATGACAACACACAGACTTCTCCCGCGCACAGGTAACGTTTGGTATAGCAGCTTTTACCTAGGTTGGGATGTGCTCTATATGCGGATGTATATGGTCTAGTCTTTCCCAGGAAGTGCCTTTAATTGTTTAATTCACCTACATTCATGTTAAGCATTTGCTGTGTTCTCAGTATAATTATAAGTCACTATGAGGTAATCTACTAGAAGGAGAGTATTTGATCGTCTCTGTTTTCAAGAGCTAATGTTCTTTGAGCACTGGGGACTCAAATATTCTCACAGATAGAGAACATGTATGAAAATAAAAGGAATAAATGTAAAGTACAAATGCAAGTTTGGGGAGGGGCAGGGGAGCAAATATGTCAGCAATGTAAAGATTAATTCACTAATTAGACTCTGATGAGACACTGGGTCATACTTGAAACTTCAAGGGTCCTACTCTATTGTGATCACCTTATTTTCTTATACTGTTCCAGCCTCTGAATCTGTATGTGACACTTTCTACAGCTCTCTTGGTTCTGACCTCTGGTGCATATAACCTTGACATAGAACCCTGCCTCCATTCTCCGGATTTTCTCCCCTAGCTTTGAAGACTAGATTTAGCTCTCCTTGGTTCTTGATCTTGTCTGTTGGCTGAATGAACTTTACCTCAGGACTGTATCCCTATATCTTCAGCCCTAGTGTAGAAACTTGACATTGACTATAAATTACTTACTCTGCTTGGCAGTTTGGTTGGGTTACCCTGACTCTGGAATCCCTATCTTCTGTTGCTTAATCTTGCTGTGGAGGTTCAGTAGAAAGAGTCTGAGCTTTGTTACTTGATTCTGGATAAAATATATAAACTATTAATACTGTTGCTAGGTCAATGTGAAAGAATAAATGAGTTAAAATGGGTGGAGACAGAAAATGTTTCTACTTGTTTGCGGAGGTAAAAAGCAGAACTGAAAGAGGTCTTAGATAACATATAATCTGGTAGTTCTTAACCCTAGCTGCATATTATAATCATCCAGGGATTGATTAAGAAATATTGATGGCTGAGCCCCACCCTAGATCAGTTAAATTAGAAACTCTGGGGGTGAGGCCCATGTATCAATATTTTTTAAAAGCTTCAGGTGGACTTAATGTGCAACCAATGATCAGACTATCTGATCTAGTCCCATTCCATCATTTAACAATCAAGGAAAATGTGGCCCAGGAAATTTAAGAGATTTTGCAGAACGCACATAGCTTTTGCCAGAAGTGGCCGAAATAGGAGGAGAGCTTAGGTGTCATATTGTCTGGCTATGTGCACTTTATTTCACTAAGCTGCTCTTTTATAATATTTTCTTAAGGCAGTATTATAGCTCCTCCCAGATGTGCATAAGTCTTTTGCCACATTCCTTTCTTGAGGCTCCTTTGTATTACCTTCAATATAGGTAAAGAAGATGGTATTTTTTCCTAGGTCTAACTTGGTCTTAGTGGCCCTTATTTCCCTGGCCTTGTGGACCCCATCCTCATTCTGTGTCTGCTGCCTTGGAACTGCCACCATTTGCACAAAATCCTGACCTTTCAACAAATACCACAGCCCATATTTTGCAACATTTAAGACCTGCTTTAGTCTGTCTGGAAGGCACGAGTGTTGTAGTTGTATTCCATTCTTCGAGGGTCTTGCTGTCATCCAAATGATAATGAAATCATTAATCATAGTGGATGATTGAAAATTTATGTAGGTGTCACAGTGCCAGGAACTCTGCAAACATTGTCTTATTTTCCCTCTCATCATTGGGGAGCTTCTGGGAGTTCTTTTCATTGTGCACTTTCAGGTATTTTAAGCCTGGGAAGGATATAATGCACTCAGGTAAATTCTCTGTGTCCCCCTAGTCATCCTAGGTCCCACGCAGCTACTTACATGCTGAATGATAGGAAGTTAAAAGGATTGTTACCAGGAGTTGATTCATCACTTGGTGTCAGTATTTCTTAAAGGTTTAGGAATACGCTAAGAACAATTTTGAAAAACCTCACAGTGTATCATTCTTCTCCTGATAACACAATCACTGACTGATACTCAGGTATGTAATGGGGCAAAAATAGGTGCATGAGGAGAACTTGCTGTGTTGAAGGTGAACCATGCAGCCTTCTGCCTGGTGAATGGAGGTTGGGAAAGGCATTCCCAATCAGCAGAACTATTTGTGCCAAAGTCTTACCTTACAAGTAAGCATGGTGCATTGAAGAAACTGAGTGGAGACCAGTGTGCCCCCGGGCTATTGCACTAGTCCAGGGCAGAGGCAAAGGAAGCTTGGACTAAAGTGGTATCAACAGAGGTAAAATCTCTAACATTGGGAGATGTTTAGCAGATAAAGTAAAAAGACCTTGGTAATAGTTTGGGAGATTTCAAGGATGATCCCTTTGCTCCACTTTATGAAATTGAATCAAATGGATGGTAGTGCCATTTAGTGAGATGTGGAACCTGGCCAGGTTTCCCTAGCAAGATTATGACTTTGGGTTTGGACACAGTGAGACAACTCTGAGGCATCTGAGATGTGCTGTTGTGTAAGCATTTGAGGGCTAGAGGGGAGGGCTGGATTGGAGATAAACTTGAGAGTCATTTGGATGCAGATGGTGGTTAAATCTGGCCCACTGCTTATTTTTGTAAATAAAACTTTATTGGAACACAGCCATGCTCATTTGTTTACTCACTGTCTATCGCTGCTTTAACACTATAATGGCAGATTGGTATAGTTATGACAGAATCTGTATGGCTCACAAAGCTGAAAATATTTACTGTCTGGCCCTTTACAGAAAAAATTTGCTAACCCTAGACCTAGTGTGAAAAAAGACAAGGGCCAAAGAATGTCAAGCAAAGGGAACAGATGGTTCAAGAGAGAGGAGGAATGATCTTCAGTGGCAAATGCTACTGAGGGCTTAAGTAAGATGAGGGCTAAAATACATCAATTAGATTTTAGTGAATGCATGTCATTGGTGACTCTGTTAAGAGGTGTTTCAGAGGCATGGCAGAAGCAGACGCCAGACTGGATTAGGTTGAAGAGTGTGCAAATGGAGACGTTGCATTTAGACAACTCAAGAAATTTCATTTGCCAAATATAAAGAGAAGTAGCTAGATGGGTATTTGAAACCCGTGGGAGATTTTCTTGTTTAAGATGGGAGAGATTTGAGTGTGTTTAAATGGTAAAAGGAAGAAGTCATTTAAGGGGAAAATGGTGAAGTATTCAGTCCTGGAGGAGGGATAAACAAAAAAGTTGCTGAGGAGGTCAGAGCGGATGGGATCCAAAGACAGATTGGCAGGTCAGCTTCAGGCAGAAGGAGGGATAGAATCTTTTGTGTCAATCAGGGAAAGAAGAGAGTGGACTTGCAGGTTTGGTACCTAGTGGGGGTTTGAAAGAGTTTCCATTTGATGGTTTCAAGTTTCTGGATGAAGTAGAAACGAAGTAGAGTCATTTGATAGGAGTGAGGAGGGACAATTTGTGTGTGAGAGTTGGTGGATGGAGGTTACAGGTTTAAAGAGAGGGAAGAAGATTAAGGAAGTATTTTGAAAATGAGAGCGTATCAATCAGAGAACTATAATAGGATGGTAGAGCAGTACAGAAAATCCATCTGAGGATGGTGATCATACATTTATATTGAGTCTGATCTGCCCAGGTTCATGACTTTCCCCAACAGTGCGACTGCTCAAGGGAAGCTCCGGAGTAAGAAGTCACTTGTTTGCCAACTGGAAAAATGGAGAAGAGGGAAATGCAAGAGATTTTAGGGAGTTAGTAAGTATATTGAAATAATGGGCCTTGGAACAAATGGTGGATACGGAGAGATGTGAGTGAAGCCAGGGCTGCTGGGCTGGATATTTTAATAAAACTAAAGAAAGGTTGTTACAGGAATAATTGAACAAACAAGCTGGAAGGAGAGGACATGGTGGTTAGAGCACAGGATTCTTGAAGAAGTGATTCTGGAAGTGGAGCAGGTTGGGGTAATGACAATATCCAGGGGAAGTTTGGGTGTATGGCAGAGAATTTACTCTTAAAGTTTTGTTCTGCTTATGTGAAAAGACAAAAGGCCCCATATTCACCATTGGAAAATAGAATAAAAGAAGGTGAGATATAGGCAGATTTTTATTTCTTCTAATGTTAGAGAAAGCATGCAGTTACTTCCATCTGGATAAAAATGTGGACTTTAAATTTCTTGAGAGATATATAAGGATTCAATGATGTTAATGCACCTGGTTATAAATAACACAAAAGAGATGATAAATGACAAGCATTTTTATCTTTCACTACTGATACTTTTTATTTACACTCTTCTTAGATGAAAGAAAATTGCTGCAATAACTGGTCTCTGTGGAAAGTCTTTTTGGCTTGTCTCAGCCTGTGTGATGACGACAGCAATTGGCATACTTATAATAAGCCTGATGAATAATAGGGGAAATTACAAATCTTCCATTGTTTTCCAGCTATCCCCAAAGTCAGGGAGCCTATGATTATTATTATTATTATTCCTTGGACGACCTCTACTACTTCTCAACCTACAGTGACCACCAGGTCAACAGAACTGACAGCTACAACCACTTAAACAGAATCTACTACCTCTGCCTTGTCCACTGAACCTACAACCACAACAACCACAGCCATCGCTTCAACTGAACCTGCAACCGCAGCGGCCACGATCACAACTTCAAGTGAAGCCACAGCTGCCTCTGCTACACCAGAACCTTAAACTACAACTACTGTAACTTCCACTTAGCTTACAAGACCTGTGGTCATCATTCTCCTTCAACAATCTGTAATCTCCACCTATTTCTCCGAACCTGCAACGGCAATGCCACCATTATCACTTTAATCTACTAGAACTACCACCAATCATCAAAGTGTTCTCTTCTATGGCAAGTTAACGTTTAGTTATTTTCACTACAAATTAACCTACAACTATCTTCCCTCACTGGCTCTTTCCTCAAATTGTAGCTACCTCTTCAATGGCTGAGTCTATATCCACTGCCATTGCTACGTTATACCTATAGCAGCTACCATGATGCCATTTGAAGAAAAGTAATTTAGACAGTGAATAATGGAAAAAATTACCTTAATTTTCACCACGTCAACACTTAGGTCTTCCAAAACTATTAAAAATGTTTTTTTTTTAAGAGCTGTACACCTGAAACTAACACAACATTGTAAATCAACTATACTTAAATAAAAATTAAAAAAAAACACCTGAACACTGAAGCTATAAGAACCTTCTTTTTTTTTCTATATTTCAAAATAATATAATTTCATATAGAAAAAGTAACCCAATTTGTTCATTTAGAATGTCTTTAAGACATTATATATAAAATCTTAATGGCAAAATTAGCCATTTAGAATTTTTTCAAAGACTTTTTTTTTTTAATGTGGACCATTTTTAAAGTCTTTATTGAACTTGTTACAATATTGCTTCTGTTTTATGTTTTGGCTTTTTGGCCCAGAGGCATGTGGGATCTTAACTCCCTGACCAGGGATCAAACCTGCACCCACTGAATTGGAAGGGGGAGTCTTAACCACTGGACCGCCAGGGAAGTCCCAAAACCATTTAGATTTTAATATGTAAAGATTTCAGTTCAGAGCATTGCATTCCTCTGCAGACAAATTACACACATAAAGAACAAATTTTATACTGGGGAGATTTAAATTTATGTAGATAAAAAGTTTTAATTTATAATAATTGTTTCCTTTATAGTGAAGCTTGTTGTGTTCAGTTTTTCTTTAGATTTTAATTACCTTTTAAACAACCATATTCTATTTACTTTAATATTTGTGGATTTAAAATAGAGATTCAAAGTGCATTTGAATCTCTATTTTAAAATTAAATGATTAATTTTCTGCAATCTTGTAAATCAATTAATTAAAGACTTGTCTTAAGTCCCAGCTATGTGCTTAAGTACAGAAGATACAGAAGAAGAAAATAGCAATGCAGATTAAGTAGTAAATTCATTAATTTAGACTCTTAATTTTGAATTCTTAATAATTCTAGAAGATTTAAATAAGTTGATGATACTCCGGACTTACTAAATCAGGATCTTTAGACTGGAACTGGTAATCTATAATTTGAAAAACTGTATATGGGCTTCCCTGGTGGCGCAGTGGTTGAGAGTCTGCCTGCTGATGCAGGGGACACGGGTTCATGCCCCGGTCCGGGAAGATCCCACATGCCGTGGAGCGGCTAGGCCCGTGAGCCATGGCCGCTGAGCCTGCGCGTCCGGAGCCTGTGCTCCGCAACGGGAGAGGCGGCGATGGTGAGAGGCCCGCGCACAGAAAATAAAAAAAAATTTTAAAAAAACGGAAAAAAAAACTGTTGGAAAAATATTTGCAATGCTGAGGGTAGAAAAATCATTGGTATCTTGATACATAAAATGTTCACTGAAAAAAAGAACACTGACCCATAATAGTTAAACAGTCATAGAACATAAATATGAATAAACATAAATACAAATATGAGTAAGCACATATATGATAGTTTGTAAATATGACTATTGAATGATATTTAAATGGTTATTAATGTGTTTAATTTCAGAGCTATAAAACAAAGGAAATGACTACACACACACACACACACACACACACACACACACACATTCTTTTTCCTGACCTGAAAACAAAGACTGAGGAAATGGTCAAAATGTTCAAAGCAGGGAGAACACAATGAGTAAGGTGGTCTTGTGACACTGTTAGTGACAGGGTAACCTGGTACAATTGTCTTCATCAATTTGGCAGCAATTTTTTTATCAAGAGCTTTTGATCTACTCAATTCCACTTTTTTTGAGGGGGGGTTATTTTTTATTTATATATTTTAAAATGTTTTTTGAATTTTTATTTATTTATTTATTTTTATTGGGGTATAGTTGTTTTACAATGTTGTGTTAGTTTCTATTGTACAGTGAAGTGGAGTTCCCTGTGCTATATAGCAGGTTCTCATTAGTTATCTACTTTATACATATTAGTGCCACTTTTAAATTGCCACCTAAAGAAACAATGCAAAATTTTGAAAAAATATTTTTAAAAATAATTATTGTATTGACTATTATGTCTGCAAAATAGAAACAATCTAAATACTTAAGGATGGAAGCATGGTTAAGTAAACTATCTTACTTTTTGTGTAACTGACTGTTGTACAACAAATAAAACACATTAAAATGAATTAAAAAATAACTATCCTTAGATATACATTGAAAAGTGTCTGGGAGGAACCAAAACAATTTAAACAGTTGGGTAAGTGATGATTTTCTTTAAATTTTCTGAATTATCTTCAAAATAGGTTTATGTTACTCTTCTAATTGGAAAAAGGTATATGAAGTCAGATGTTTCATAAACTAATGAAAAAATGATAAGGGAAACAGACAGTAAATTAGGGGCAGTGAGTAATGGAAACTAAAGTTAATGAATTTAAAGTGAAATAATGAAGCATCCTATATGGATGCTTCTTTTATTTTTAATTTTCAAACAGTGGTCATAGAATATCGTTATAAAACTGAGATACAAAAGAAATCCAAAAGATCGTAGGTGAATCCAATCACATATGGTACCTCCTATCTTATTTACATCAGAGTATCTGGCTACTAAGTGATTTGTCTATTAGATTCATGTCTGAAGAATCAATTTTCTGGTTCTACGTGGGATTTTGACTTAGATTAGGGATTGAATTTCTGCTCTGCAGCAACTGTTGGTTTTGCAACCTGAAGAACACTTCTTAAACTCTTTGAGTCTTAGTTTCCTCATCTGTAATATAGAATAATACTTTTCCATAGAGCAATTTTGAAGATTAAAGTGGTTTATGTACCTATCATTGTCCCTGACAAATAAGTGTTTGTTTTTATTAGTATGCGACAAATGCTTTCACGAAGAAGCAATGAATTATATGTGTTATATATATATATATATAATACTAGTAAGTATGAGTATTCCACTCAATGCCAGAATTATTAATATTTATGTTAACATAATTGTTAGTATGTATATATACTTATACACAAGCACATGGTATATATATTTTGATATATATAAATATATTATGGTTAGTATTTGTATATATTGGGATGGCAAAAACGTTCATTTAGGTTTTTCCATAACATCTTATGGAAAAACCCAAACAAACTTTTGGGCCAACCAAATATTTGTTTACATAATTGCTAGTATTTTGGTATATATATTTATATACATAATACATGTTATCGACAGTTGACTCTTGAACAACAGGTTTGAACTGCGTGGGTCCACTTATATGAGAATTTTGTCAATAAATACGTACTACAGTGTTACACTACCTATGGTTGGTTGGATACACAGATGTGGAACCACAGGTAAGGAGGGCTGACTGTAAAGTTATATGAGGACTTTTGACTGCAGGGTGTCAGTGACCCTAACCTATGCATTGTTCAAGGGTCAACTGTATATATGTTTTACTATATATTTATGTAATAAAACTTCATTTATTCTAGGGTGTTTTAACTTCTATTATTTTGATGTATCAATTTTTTTCTTACTCTACTGGGCTTCTAGATAACTTTCTAAAAATCCTACATTTTGCTATTTGAGATTCCATAAGCAAGTCAAATATTGATCTTCCCCTCTTTTGATTTCTAGATGATCTCCAGAGCCAAGAGGAAGCACAAATGGTCCCAATATCCATGCTCTCTGGGAAACATGTTTCATTTCTTTGTACTATTTTGAACTGCTTTGAATAGTTAACATTTCTGGGAGTCACAATTGGCTCCATAATTGTGACATATGGATAAACTTCCCATTTCAGAGATATTTACAACAGAACCCAGAAACATAATCTCTTTAGTTCGTCTAAGGATTCTGAATAATTATCTCTTCTTTTTTTTCTTTGTGGGTAAAGCAAAGGAAGCCCAAGAAATGTCACCAGAAATCAATACTTAGGTTGACTGCTATGCTCTAATGCCTTATGATCGTGGCTGGGAACCAGCATTCAGTAGCTGGGAAAAGGGTACAACCCTATGCTCTTGTCACCTTCTCCCAAGAACAATGATTCAATCTTTGATGGTCAAGGTGGAGATCAAACTTGAAGGACTTAAGGCATGAGATCTTAGATCAGTCCATAAAGTTTATGGTTCAGGTTCAAGTTCAAGGACTGACAAGAATTAATACACTTGCAGAATCAGCAAACAAACAGAGCAGACGATGCACATGAGCTGATACAAAAAAATGTGTCACCCCAGGGCCAACCGTGTTTCCTGCTGAGAGGTGCCAAAGTTCAGTGATCTCAGCACCTTTTATGAAGTGAAGAGCTAAGACCCCAGGAAGCCATTTAGGCTAGTGTTGAAAGAGTAGACAATCATCAAGCAAAATCAGACCTAATTACCTTAAAGCAATTGTATTGTTTTTTTGCAAGCCCACAAGTATGGTAACTAGTTTATTTCATGTTTTACTTCTTATTGTGCCATCAGGCCTTGAAACTAAAGGTGTCAGTGAATCAAGCCTAACCAAG